TGGCGGCCAGGCCTAGGGACTGTACCTGCACATGAACTTCATGCACCAGGCCTCTAGTGGTGCTGTAAAAGAATTAAACTGCATTACATAATGCCTGGGATATGAACTCTATAGATGTTCACTGTTATAGTTTCCATCATTACTGTTATTGATGTCATTTCTGTCCTTCATGGTACTTAAACCAAGGGTGAAGTTTACTCTAGGATTAGAGTGCCCCAAAAAATGTAAGATAGAAGAAGAAGCTGTGAACATTATGGAAGAGGGATCCCAGGATGTGACCAAACAGCCAGAAAATTTGTTCTAATCTAATTGAAGGATAGTCTTGCTATGGAAGGTTGAGAATAGTTAAAAGCAATCTTAAAATGTAATCATATGATAATTTCTGTCAGATTGAGCCTTTTATTACAGCCAAAGAAGTTGGATTTAAGAATACAACAAACCTCAGTAGTAAAAACCACAGAACAATCCAATTTAAAAATGGACTGATGATCTGAAAAGACATTTGTCCAAGGAAGACATACAAATGGCCAACAGGTATGTTAAAAGGTGCTCCACATGGGGGAGATAAGAGATCAACCGAAGGACTTGTATACATGCATATAAATACAGCCAATGGACACAAAACTCTGGGGAGGGAGGGAGCACAATGGTAAGATATGTACATAGATAATAATTTTTAAAAATTTGAAGGAAAAAAAAGGCGCTCCACATAACTAATGCTCATGGAAATGCAAATCAAAACCACAGTGGAATATCACCTCACACCTCTTTGTGTGTGTGTGTATATATATTATCTATACCAATAATCTATACTAATAAAATCCTATCTAATAAAAGAATATGCAAATTAACCACCACTCTGCTATACCCACAAGCCAAGCAGGAGAAGTATGCAAATTAACCCCAATCAAGATGGTTGCAGCCATGGAGTGAGCAGGAGGCTTGGGTTTCCCCAGCAATGAAGGAAGCCAAGCTTTCCGCACACCTGCCCAGGCCACCACTCCAGGCTACAAAGTTTCAATTATAGAATATAAATAAATCCAATACCATGATCTTTGCTAGGGTTACTGGGGGGCATGGCCAGGCGGCAAACCTCCATAAATCCCTCACCGAGGCTGCCCCATGCCCTGATCCGGGACAATCTTCAGGGCAAACCAGCTGGCCCCCACCCATGCACCAGGCTGCTATCCTATCTAATAAGAATAATATGCAAATTATTCTAAAACACAAGTTGGCTGCCCCATGTGTACATAAGATGGCCAGCAGGGGAGGACAGTTGTGAGCAAACAGGCCAGCAGAGAAGGGCAGTTGGGAGGGACCAGGCCTGCTAGGGAGGGCATTTGTGGGCAATCAAGTCTGCAGGGCCAGGCAGTTAGGGGTAACCAGGCCACAGAGGAGGGAAGTTGGGGTGACCGGGCCTGCAGGGAAGGGCAGTTGGACGGGACCAGGCCTGCTAGGGAGGGCATTTGTGGGCAATCAAGTCTGCAGGGCCAGGCAGTTAGGGGTAACCAGGCCGCAGAGGAGGAAAGTTGGGGGTGACCGGGCCTGCAGGGAAGGGCAGTTGGAGACCCAGGCCTGCAGGGGAGGGCAGTTAAGGGCAAACAGGCTGGCAGGGGAGCAGTTCGGCATCAATCAGGCTGGCAGGGGAGTGGTTAGGGAGTGATCAGGCTGGTAGGCAGAAGCAGTTAGGGATAATCAGGAAGGCAAGCAGGCGAACAGTTGGGAGCCAACAGTCCTGGATTGTGAGAGGGCAGTTGGACATCCCTGGAGAGGTTCCAGATTGGAGAGGGTGCAGTCTGGGCTGAGGGCAACACCCCTTACCCCGCCGGGCATGAATTTAATGCACCAGGCCTCTAGTCTATACTAATAATATGCTAGTTAGACTGGATCAACCAAACATCTTCCAGTTGTGCTTCCAGACAAAGCCACGGTAGCAGGGGCCGAGGCAGAGGTGGTTAGAGGCGATCTGGCTAGCAGGAGAGCAGTTAGGAGTGATCAGGCAGGCAGAGTGGTTAGGGGTGGGCAGGCAGGCAGGTGAGTGGTTAGGATTGCAAGAGGGTGCAAGCCAGGCTGAGGGACCCTGTCCCGCCCTCCCCACCCCTAGTGCACAAATTTTGTGCACCAGGCCTCTAGTTCAGCTATAGCAAAGGAGTTACTGCCTTTTGGATGGACTCTGAGGGCATTATACTAACTAGGTATGTCACAAATTTCATGTGTAATCTGAAGAAGTGAACTATTACAGAGAGTGGTTTGATAGTTTACAGAGTGTTGGTATGGAGGAAACATGAAAATGTTGGTTAAAGAATCCAACTTCTGCCGAGGCCGGTTTGGCTCAGTGGTAGAGCGTCGGTCTGGGGACTGAAAGGTCCCAGGATTGATTCCGGCCAAGGGCATGTACATTGGTTGGGGGCACAACCGGTAGGGGGTGTGCAAGAGGCAGCGGGTCAATGTCTCTCTCTCATCGACGTCTCTAGCTCTATCTCTCTCCCTTCTTCTCTGTAAAAAATCAATAAAATATATTTAAAAAAAAGAAAAGAATACAACTTCCTGTTACAAAATAAGTAAGTTCTGGGGATCTGAGGTACACATAGTGAACATAGCTAATAATACTATATTATATACTTACATGTCACTAAGAGAGTAGATCTTAAATGGTTTCAGCACCAAAGGGAAATGGTAATTATTTGATGTGATAGAGGTATTAATTAATGCTATGGTAGTATAATTTTACAATATATAAGTATATCAAATCAACATGTTGTACACGATAAACTTACACAATGCTATATGTCATTATCTACCAGTGTTTCCCAAAGTGTGGTACTCGTACTCCCAGGGGTACGGGAAGAGTTTGGTGGGGGTACGCGTTGCACCAGAGTTTGGTGGGGATATGCACTGCACCGTGCTTAGCTGCGCCTAATTTTACGTTCTCATGAGTACGAGGGGTACTCAGCGTTACGAAAATTATAGAAGCGGTACACATATGTCAAAAGTTTGAGAAATACTGATCTAATAAAAGGGTAACATGCTAATTAGGTCAGATATCTTCCAGACAAAGCCACGGTGGCAGGACCAAGGCAAAGGTGGTTAGGGGTGATCGGGCCAGCAGGGTAGAGCAGTTAGGGGCATCAAGCAGGCAGGCAGAGTGGTTAGTGGTTAGGCAAGCAGGCAGGTGAGCGAATAGGAGCCAGCAGTCCCAGATTGCGATACGGTGCAGGCCAGATTGAGGGAACCCCACTCCCCATGCACAAATTTCATGCACTGGGCCTTACAAGAATCACTTTCTCCATCTTTGATTAGTACCTCAATAAAGCTGGAAACGAACAAAAGACAGAGGAAAAATACATCTATCTACAAGCCAAGGAGAGAGGCCTCAGAAGAAAGCAACCCTGCCAACATCTTTATCTTGGACATCTAACCTTTAGAACTATGAGAAATAAATTTCTGTTGTTCAAGCCAAATCAAAAAACAGTACTACACACTTAGTATAAAGTGCAGATTATAGTCTTTACTCAGTTTTGAAAATATTTATAGCTTAGAGTAGAAAACATTTGGAAAAGTATTTCAAAATATCTTTACTTTTTTTGGTAATACTGATTATCCACATACATATTTCTGTACTAGTTCCTTTTATCAGCATTCAACGTATATATAGAGACCGTATACTCAAGTAAACTCAGTAAACTCTATTAGGTTAAAGCCATTTGTTTCAAATATTACCCTCACTAGTCTGGGACTGTCATGGTTCGTCCAAATGCAAAATTCTGCAGATTTGAATAGCTGTGCAGACAGAAACTGAAAACTGTTGTGTCTACCTTGTCACTAATAAGTGATGGGAAAATTAAAGTATTAGTTTTCCTCCAAAATTTAAGGGAGCTGAAAATGCCAATCCTATATAATTAAAGGGTAATATGCAAATTGACCCTAATGGTGAAATGACCAGGAATGACCAGTCGCTATGACTTGCACTGACCACCAGTGGGCAGATGCTCAATGCAGGAGCTGCCCCCTGGTGGTCAGTGCGTTCCCATAGGGAAGTTTCACTCGGTCACAAGCCAGGCTTACTGCTGTGAGTGCAGTGGCAGTGGCGGGACCCTCTCCCACCTCCCTCAGCAGCACTAAGGATATCTGACCGATGCCTTAGGCCTGCTCCCCTAAGCCATCAGTTGGACATACCCTGAGGGATCCCAGGCTGCCAGAGAGATGTCTGACTTCCAGCTTAGGCCTGATCCCCCAGGGAGCTCCCAGACTGGACATCCCCAGGGCTCCCAGTCTGCAAGAGGGTGCAGGCCAGGCTGAGGGACACCCACCCCCTCCCCAAGTGCACAAATTTTCGTGCACCAGGCCTCTAGTAATTATAATAAACAATAACATATACACAGTAACACATACCTGGCTTATGTCTCCAAAGCAAATTACTTATTAGCATTTGGAAGAAAAAGTAGTTAACTACTAAAGGTAATAAAGTTCATCTTGGTGTCTTAATCCTCTTTATTACTTAAATATTACCATTATCCATATTCATCTACTTAAGAGTTATTTAGTGAGTTAAGACAGAAGGTGCTTTAAAAATAAATTAAAGAAGGTATGGTATGATGGAAGGCATAGTAATTTAAGAGTCATATTCATTTCATAAGGGAACTTTCTATAGTAATAGAAAACATTTTAAATAAATAAAAGTAGATATCTATGATTCGGTCAAGATACCTACTATTTAGGTAAACCATTGCTATAATTTCATTCTGTTATACGGGATTCTTCCAGAACTTAACTGTGGTTTCACTGCATAGATATTCTCTTACTATTTTAAGTAATACCTCTGCAGTTTGGGGAACAAAACATCTTAATATTCACAGTTACTCATAGAATTCCATGTTATTCAATATATTCTCTTGCTTTTCAAGAGTCACTTTTGGAAACTGACTCATAGCAACTGTCTGGCAGAGCCTTAGTAACGGAAGTCCACACAGCAAGTACTGTGCATCACAGTGTTAGCTATGTTACTCTTGAATCGTTCCATTCCTTATAGAAAAAGCAATGAGTCTTTTGTAAACCACTCCCAGGAGTGTGATGCTGAGCAGAACTATTCCACACACAAGGCCGAATGCCCACCTTGGGCCCCAGGAAGTGTACACTTGGCTGATGTACACAGGTCCAAGAATCCGTGCTGCACTTCCAGAAGCTGTTAACCAGCCCATGTACAAACCCTGTGAGGTGGGGATGGGGAGAAGCAGATTGAAATTCAGGTTTAGTTATTTTAAAAAAAGAATGATGCTGCTATCACAAAACAGTGGGAAACTTACAAGAATCACTTTCTCCATCTTTGATTAATGAATTACATATAAATGTGTTTTTATAAATACAGCAAATAATGAACAGTAAACTTACTTGATAGAGTCAGCTTAGGAAAAATAAAAGTAGTAGAAAAGAACAAATTAAATATCTGCTGAGGCCCTGGGAACAATAGAATTTACTAATTTACCCTTTAAGACTTTTATTTTGTACTTATCTTCCACACACTGTGTTAGCTGCTTTACTTATATTTTCCAATGTTCACAAATGCTTATCACTGGTGTCCCTACATATGTGGAAGTTGAAGCTCAGAAAATTCAAGTAACTCTAACAAGAGCTTTGAAGTCAGGTGTGCCTAACTCCACTGTACCACCTTCCACTGCACCACGTCACTCCTTCAATTACTGTGCAGGGCAGCATTACCTTTAATAGTCTCACACTGAAAACCCAACTGTTCACGTATTTCACTCATATGTGCGACACGTGATCAACATAACCTGATGAAGACAAATGGCAGGGGAGGGTTACAGAGCAACCAAAGGACTTGTATGCATGCATATTAGCATAATGATGGACACAGACACTGGATCAGTGGGGGCTTGCCATTCCCACGGCCTGATCGACGCTTCTCTGTGTCTGGATCTGTTTTTGTCTGTCAGTTTATGTTGTTTATATTCCACAAATGAGTGAGATCATGTGATATTTATCTTTCTCTGATTGTACACTTTTAAGGCAACTATGTTTTCATCTTTTAGTAACTGGACCTAAGGCTAAATGCAATTAAGCCTAGAGTCAAATTTGCCTATCAATTTTGGTTTCCCAACTGTTGCCTAGTTTAAGAATGAGTTTCAGAACTTTATGCTCCCGATAATTTTTTTTCTATGAAAATTATTTGAGCTTATAATCTTTGAGTTCAAGAGAGCTTTGCATTTTTAGAGTGCTTTTTGTTCAGTTTCAACACACAAGTCCTGTAGGTACTTTTTAAAAATTGTGCTTTTATAAATTCAAAATGCTGAATATGATTTTAAAAAATCCCCTGTATCAGCTTGTGTGAAAATAGAGAATGGTAGCACCGAATGTTAGTGAAGCATATTTCACATAACTGCTATGCCAGGGTAACTGACTCACCTGAGGTTTTGGTCCCAAAATTTTTGAATAAATTGTATATGCCATAACATTGCTGCATGGATAGCTTATTCCAATTAACACAACTGATGTGATGAACTGAGATAGGTGGATCATGGGGGTATAAAGGCACCAGGCTTGTATAATTGGGCAACCAGTTGGTCCTTCTCTCAGATTTCTTGGAGACTGCCAAAGAGTAATAATAGTTTCTCCAAATGTGGTATTAGGAATTGTATGATTATGTAAATCTGTAAAAACAAAATTAGTGCAGTGCGTGACTTATTACTAGATGAGTAACAGAGACAATGTAACATTATAGAATTATGTATGGCTATACCTTGCCACTGTATCTTGGGAAATTGATTTCCCCAAGGTAACAAGATAAAGAAGCCAATCCATGTGATGACAAATCCTCCCAGCAGAAGAGGACGCTCACCAATCCTGTTAGAGAACAGAAACATTATTACTTTTATCATTTCAAAAACTATAAATAAAGTATTTTCATGCTTTTAGTGATATATCAATTAATATGAATGCTCGCCAAAACCGGTGTGGCTCAGTGGTAGAGCGTCGGTCTGCGGACTGAAAGGTCCCGGGTTCGATTCCGGTCAGGGGCATGTACGTTGGTTGCGGGCACATCCCCGGTAGGGGGTGTGCAAGAGGCAGCTGGTTGATGTTTCTCTCTCATCGACGTTTCTAGCTCTCTATTCCTCTCCCTTCCTCTCTGTAAAAAATCAATAAAATATATTTTAAAAAAAAATTAATATGAATGCTAAATGTAATCTCCCACTAAGAAGAACCAGGACTCCTCTAAAAACTGGCCTATTTCAGGTTTGAGACAGACAATGTGTAAACTGAGCCTGGACATCATCTAGTCATTCCAGAGTGCAGAAAAGCTACCAGTGACTACAAGGTAATGATGAAAGGACTCGGAGCCAATTGGAAGAAGCTGGCCCAATACATGACAATGTGAACACCAAAATGAATAGTAATGACAATGAACTGAAACACATAAAAATGTTATAATGTATGGATTCATATTATTTTAAAACTAGAGCTCTAATGCATGAAATTCATGCAAGGGGCTCGGCCCTTGCAGCCCAGGCTGCCTTGCGGCCCCACAGCCCGCGCTGCAAGGGGCTCGGCCCTTGCAGCCCAGGCTGCCTTGCGGCCCCACAGCCCGCCCACTGGTCATTCTGGAAGGTCGTTCCACTATCTGATCTAATTACCATATTAGCTCTTTATTATATAGGATACTCTTGGTCACTTTTAGGGGATATTAGCAAACCAATTTTTATTTTAAAAGTCAGTTAATAAAATAAAAGCAAAGCATCACCCTGTCTTTCCTATACAGACTATACCTCAGAATAACCAAATAGTTGGCGACAGGAAGTTTCTCTCGAAAATATTCCAGCAAATAAATAAATGATAGAATTAAAATAGCATTTTGCAATTATCTATTAATGAATTAATGAATCTAGGGAATGTCAATGACCTCTTACATAATAAAAAGATAAATAAATTTTTCCTGATGTAAGTTTATAACAACACCTATAAATTATTCTTGCCAAAAAAATTAAACTCAAATCTCATTAAACTTCCAGATCTAAGTATCAAATATTTTTTATTTAGGAAAGATCATAATTAGTTTTGTTTTTCAATGAGATATGTACACAACTAGTAAGTTCAGTGCAGCAAAAAATCTTCCGCTGCCTAAGTATCAATTTTTGAGAAATAGAGACAGGAAGATGTTTTTTTAATAAAAAAAACCCCCACGGATTCAATCAGTGAGATACAAAATATGGGAAACTATAGGTCAAAGGGTGTGTTGTTCTTTTTTGATACTTTATTGTTGACAATATTACACATGTCCCCCTCCTTTCCTCATCGACCCTCTCCAGCCCACCCCCGTCCCCCACCCCAGGCCCTCACCACTCCACTGTGTGCATCCAAGGGCAAATAGTTTCTTCAATTTGTAAAGGAAAAAGAGAGAGTGAGGTGGAAAAGATCAGATTAAAAGAGAAGGCACTTGAGAACCTTAATCAAGTGATTAAGAACAAAACAAAGAATAAACAAACAGAATGGAAACAGTAGAGAAAACTTGAATACTGCCTGGATATTTTATTTAATTTAGAAATCACTTAACATTTTTAGATGTTATAATGTAATTAACTTTTAGAGATACATACTGAAATATTTATAGCAGACATGAAATAATGTCTGGGGTTGACTTCAAAAGAATCAGGTGTAGGAGGTAGGAAATGTGGAGGTATAGATGAATCAAGAGTATGCAAATGTTTATCATTATTCAAGCTGGGTAATGGTTATTAGAGATTCAGTACATGATGCTCTCTGCACCTTTGTATATATTAGAAATTCTCCACAATAAAAAGTAAAATATACAAACAAGATCAAAGGCTTCTTAAACCCAAACTCTTCCCATCTCTCTTAGAATGTCTCCAGGATTCACATTTTTCCAACCTGATCTACTTAGTCCTGCTCTGGCCAAACTGGCATTTCTGCTTGTTCCTCAAACATGCAAAGCTCAGTCTAATGTGGAAGGAGAGTTCCAAGCCACTCCAAGGCTGCTGTGACTTCACTCAGGTGTCTGCTTGGATGTGACTTCCTCAAGTGTGCCTTAAGCACTCGATCAAAATAGCACTTCCCTTCTCTCCCTACCAGCTCCTGCCCCTCTATTCTCTTCCTCTGTTCTGCTCTTCTTCATAGTACTTATCACTACCTGACCTCACCTTTGCATTGGCTTTCTCTCCAATAGAATTCACCTTTGCATTGGATTTCTCCCTAATAGAATTCAAGCTCCTTGAATGTATGGAATTGGACAATCAGCCTGAATGACTATTAGCAGCTCACCTCTACTTATGTAGCAAGATATAATACATTTATTATTAATTAACTTGGAATATGAATTTGTCATCTATGTACATCTTGGCCCTCTACTGGGCTCTGTAAGAATCTTCATTGGTATACATAACACCTAACCCTCATACTGACTCAATATTTGCTCACTGGTTTTAGAACTTTGAGTTCTAAAGTATTAACATATTTTAGGAATAATTAAGTTATTAGATCTGTATAACTTCATCTATTAATATCCCACCTCAGATTGTAAGAATGAATTTAATTTTATATAAGAATTTGCCCCAAAGTGTGTTCGTCACAGTTGTCCTTTTACAAAATGCTTTTTAAAGAAAGTGTTCTGCCGAAACCGGTTTGGCTCAATGGATAGAGTGTTGGCTTGGGGACTGAAGGGACCCAGGTTTGATTCCAGTCAAGGGCATGTACCTTGGTTGCGGGCATATCCCCAGGAGGGGTTGTGCAAGAGGCAGCTGATGTTTGTTTCTCTCTCATCGATGTTTCTAACTCCCTCCCTCTCTCTCTCTCTCTCTCTCTCTCTCTCTCTCTCTCTCTCTCCCTCCCTCCCTCCCTCCCTCACTGTACAAAATCAATAAAATATTTTTTTTAAAAAAACTGTAAAAAAAAAAAAAAGTGTTCTGTGGTCAAAGTTACAAATAATTTTCAGAAATGCTACATGCTGTATTTGTCATGATGGTGATATAGTACGTATACACTGGAGATTTAGAGTAAATAAGTTTGATAATTTTAACCAGAATTTTCCAGATTTGACCACTGAATCTTTTTGTTGTGTAACATATATATCCAGGCAGCAGAACAATGTTCTATGAAATACACTTTTAGAAATACTGTAAGTAAAATATAATAAACAGATGCTACATTAGAAGACAATTATTCACTTTGTAAATATATTGCTCTACTAAAGAATATGCCATATGGTTTAGAAATATCATGCTCCCTTAATAAGCTTTACATCTATTTTCAAATGTTCAAAGACTAAAACTACCACATAAAAAGAGAAAAGCTTTCAATTGTTTTACTTAACACATCCATTTACATTGTTAACAGTTTCATGTTTCACTTTTAAAACATAGATTTGGAACAAAACCAAAGACATATTACTTACAATTTGGCAAGTGATTTAATCCCTATGAAAACAAGAACAGCCTCAACTCCAAGAGCAGCAAGTATTATTCCATCATACAATACAGCTTGTACTGCAGTCCAGGCATACATATCCATTGTTAATGGAGTTAGGATGCTAAGAAAAACAAAAAAAAAAGTATTCTCACTTTATTTAAATCACAGTCATTGTTAAAGCTGATATAGAAACTTTAATAATGTTCTTGACACATTTAAGAATTTGTATCCCTTTTAACAATAACACCAGATCTAAATAAACAAAAATTTTAACACACCTTTAGCAGTTTTTTACTTGATTGGTTATAGAGAGAAGAAAAAAGAGAGAGAGGGAGAGGAAACATGAATTTGTTGTTCCACATATTCATACATTCATTGGTTGATTCTTGTATGTGCCCTGACCAAAGATCGAACCCAGCCAGTGCATTTTTAGCACATTTCGGTGTTACATGCACAAGCTACTAAGTTTGAGTGTTTGTGTTCTTATTTTTTAACATTTAATTATAAAGTAATATATGCACATTGTTAAGTTTGAAAAACAGGAAAATAAAACAAAGAAACCAAAACTATCATTCTAATATAACTAAATAAGCATGGTTATGTTTTGGGTTAAATCAGTCTCTTTTCAATTAAATAATGTCACCATTATTAGATTATTAGAACATTCTGGAATTTCTTTTCCTTGGTCTCTTTCATCCCTATCATTAAATGTGTGTATTTTCACCCTACCTCTCTCTGAATGTCTCTCTCCCTATTATAACCATTTCCTTCCTTCCCAATCTTCTTTCCCTATTTCCTATCTCCTTTTGTTAACTAGTTACAAAATGGAATTGAAATATATTTAAAATATTCATTATTTTGCCCTAGCTTGTTTGGCTCAGTGGATAGAGCATTGGCCTGCGAACTGAAGGGGGGTTCCAGTCTGGTTAAGGGCACATGCCAGGGTTGCGGGCTTGATCCCCAGTAGGGGGCATGTAGGACACAAGCCAATCAATGATTCTCTCTCATTATTGATGTTTCTATCTTTCCCTCCCTTTCTTTTTGAAATCAATAAAAGAAAAATAAAATTTTAAGTTCATTCGTTTTTTAAAAACATAAAAAACTAAAAAGCAAAATTAACAACAGAATATTACCATTTTTAAAATTTTAAAATCATATGAGCTGATGTGGAACATAGTTTGGTGATTCCACAATTACCATATGACCCAGCAGTTCCACTTCTGGATATATACTCAAAAGAACTAAAAGCAGGAACTCAAATAGATATTTGTACACCAGTATTCATCACAGCATTATTCACAAGAGGCAAAAGGTGGAAATAATACAAATGTCCATAGACAGATGAATGAATAATCAAAATTGGTATACATATAATGGAATATTATTCAGCCATAAAAAGGTATGCAATTCTGACACATACTAAAACATGGATGAACTTTAAAAACATCATGCTAAATGAAATAAGACACTAAAAGACAAATGTACCATTTTACTTATATGAGGTACCTGAGAGAAAGTAGAAAAAAGGTTACCAAGGGCTGGGTGATGGGGAGTAGAGACATTGTTTAATGGGTGCAAAGATTCTGTTTGGAATCATAAAAAGGTTTGGGAAATGGATAGTACATTCATATAACACTGTGAATGGACTTCCTGCCACTGAACAGTACAATTAAAAATAGTTAAGCCCAGGTGGTGTGGCTCAGTGGTTGAGTGTCAACCAGCAAGTCATGGTTCAATTTCCATTCAGGACACATGACACTGTTGCAGGCTTGATCCCCAGTAGGGGTGTGAAGGAGGCAGCCAATCAATGATCTCTCCCATCATTAATGTTTCTCTCCCTCTCCCTTCCTCTCTCTGAAAGTAATAAAAACATATTTATAAAAATAGTTAAAATAGTTTTTTTTTATCCTCACCCAAGGATATGTTTTTTTCATTGATTTTACGGTCTAGATGATATGCTCAGTGGATAGAGCATCAGCCTGCGGAGTGAAGGGTCCCAGATTCAACTCCTGATCAAGGGCACATACTTTGGTTGTAGGCTCCAGCCTCGGTCAGAGCACATGCAGGAGGCAACCATTCCATGTGTTTCTCTCACTTCAATATTTCTCTCTCTCTGTAACTCCCTCTCCCACTCTCTCTAAAAATTAATGAAAAAATATTCTTGGGTGAGGATTAACAAAAAAAAAATTATTTTAGGAAGGAGGGAGAGACAGAGATAGATACTAAGATTACAGACAAAATTAACTAAATTTAAATTAAATATCAAACACTTTTTCATCATGAAAAGAAAAATGTCATACATAAAGTTGAGAACAACTATATGCCTGATTAATATTGAATTAAATACAACTTGTTTACATAATCTAATATAGAGGAAGACAAAACTTACGTTTCAAAAAGGGCAAAGATAAATAGGATCACAAAAAACAGAACATTGGTAGTCACTACAGCCACTTGATCAATACTTATCTGGGGAATCTGAATATCATCTCTTCTTACTATAGTGAACAAGAGAAAAATTATATTACTTACAGGTGTTAGCAAATTCTATGACTAAACATTTAAAATCATTTTTAGGCTTCAAAATAATTTAAAATTAATAATGTATATAGTACCAATAACTTTTAAATTATATTTAGAACTCAAATAACTTTTCTTCCCAGGAAATATACTTCAATTCTGTTATCTACAGGAGATATTCTATTGGTGTCTCTCAATCCAGAGGAGGCATGTATTTTACAGAATTCTATAAAATGATATTTCACTAAATACATGTTCTTTAAATTTCAGTTGCAGGGGTTTTTTTTTTTGTTTTTCCCCCCCATCTTACCTTAATCTTAAATTACGAGAATTTCATGAAGACCTGAAATAGTTTATTAAATCAGTTCTCATTTCTATGATTCACTTCAATGAACATATATTTTATTTTTAATTTCAATCGTATGTGAAATTAGTATTAGTAAATATCCTCATGTTATTATCACTCAAGTCCTTGAGTTATTTATATTTTTGCAAAGAAATACTTTAGGAGGGCAAGTGAGTGTACTGTCTTATCTTGAACCACTATAGTTAAGCAATATATTCGGTACAAACTATTCCTGATATACTTGAGAAGTGTGAAGCTATATAGATCTTAGATACATCTGTCATGCTATTTTACTCAGAATAAATCAGGTAAGTAATACAAGAATGTGTTCATTTATACTGTATAATTGTGTATGTAGCAACAGCAGGGGGCAGGCAGTGACTTTCCTAAAGCACAGTAAGTTTCTATAATTTTTCCATAATGGTACCTGCCTTTACATCTTAGGATTTCTGAGAAGGAATTCCTTCTCCAATTTCAAATGAGATTTGGAAATAGTCTGCTATACTTGGGTACAATTAAGAAAGTACCTTGGATATCAACATAGAGTCATGACCTCCCTTTCTAAACACAGAAATCTATAAAATTAGCTCTCTGAAACCAAGACAAAGTAATTTTTAGCAATGGTTTTAACCTTACCAATCATGAACACCAAATAACTGATATTTGTATGTCTTTTTTATTTTTTTAAACAACTTAGGTAACTTTCAACTTGGAAGATCTTTTCTAAGTTACTCCTTTTCTTGTCCTCAGAAGCAAAATCCAAGTAAATACCAAAGGAATCATTAGAAACACTTCGTTAATTTTATAGTAATTTAGTTAAACAGCTTAATAGTACCTTCTTCATTATTAATACTTGTACACTGTCGTCCTGTGTCATCCACACGATGCTCTCTTAAAAAGAAAAACATAAATATCATACCCATGAAAGGCTTAGTATAATAGAAAAATGGGTTAAATTTATTACTAGCCTATTTTTTCACAATTTGATCTAACTTTTTATATTGGCTTCTGAGCTATGAAATTATTAGCAATGAGATATAACAACATTTTAAAGAAACAAGTCATGATTCTTATTATGCTTATAAGATGGGGGGGAAAACAACCACCAAATTCATCCAAAAGCATATGTGATCTACCTTAATCAGTATTTGAAGTTCTACAGTGGTTTTTAAACATTATAAATATTTCTGGACTCTTGGTTAAAGTATTCCAAAGAAATATAAACTAACCAAATTTTTACAGCTTTATAAAATTTTTTCTAATATATAAAAGATAAAAGATACATTTGAAGTAACGTTTGTATTTAAAGTTGATACTAATCATTAATTCGCTTAAAATATTGCTTTCATGCCATTTTCCTACTTAGAAAACTAAAATTATTAAATCAAGACCAAACCTTGCCCTGATCGGTTTGGCTCAGTGGATAGAGCATAAACCTGCACACTGAAAGGTCCCAGGTTCAATTCCGGTTAAGGGCATGTACTTTGGTTGCAGGCACATCCCCAGTGGGGGTGTGCAGGAGGCAGCTGATCAATGTTTCTCTCTCATCGATGTTTCTGGCTCTCTATCTCTCTCCCTTCCTCTCTGTAAAAAATCAATAAAATATATTAAAAAAAAAAAAAGACCAAACCTTAACTTCTCAAAGACATTATAATCTGTTCTCATTTATCAAATTGTCTATTATTTTAGTTCTGAGTAAGTACATTAGCAAATCAGAAAATAACACAACTATAGACATGAAGTAACAAATAAAGACTTTTTAGGAATAATTATCCTCCAACAATGATAATGCTTATTTAATAAAAAAAGTAGTTTTATCATTTGTCTAATTACCTTAATATAATAATGATCAGAATAATATTTAAAAATCCAAGGAAGGCGCCAAGTAAAACTGGTGCTGTATACATGTTTATCTGAAGCTGTATAGTCTCCCATGTCACGCCCTTTTCTCCAAGGATTGCAAAACAGGTCTGAAAAACTTATTAAAGTAAAACAACACAGATTTTTAAAGTTGTGAAAGACGTATACCACGAAATTAGAAGTAACATGGAATCATTCATCTACATCATGCCTCTGGACAGACAGAAAAAAAACTAGTCTGGGTGAGGGGACAGAAAAATTCACTCTTTTCTATATAAAACACATATACAGTACATCCACCATATACAGTATGTCTGTGGTATTAAAATTTCATGGGATGGAATGGTTAGGGAAAAAATGTCTAAAAAAATTCCTTAGGGGGTCAATAATGAAAAAAAGATTGAAAAAAAGAAAAAAAGAAAAAGAAAAAAAGATTGAGAAACACTGATTTGCATAAAATTACAAAGGATTATATCTCAAGTAGTTACTTCAGTAATTTCACTTTTTTAAAATCTCCATAAGAAATATATACCGTGTTTCCCCGAAAATAAGACATCCTCCAAAAATAAGACCTACTTACAGGTTTCCTTCTGAGTGAAATATAAGGCATCAGCCTGAAAATAAGGCCCCCCTAGGCTAAACATGAGAGATTTGGTCCACTGATTCTGAAAGAAATGGAGTCACAAGAAATTCACCAGGAAATGCAGGAATTGGATTGTTATGATGATGTCCATCATATGTTCCATCCATGATGTCACCAGGATGACGAGAAGAAGATGACATGATTGTCATTGAATAAATGAGTAAATTCTTGATACTGTAGGATTCAGTTTGTCTGGTTTGTGTTGACAACTCCCGTACTACTGTACCATATACAGGTAATAAATTTCCTTTTCATTTAACAATAAATGTATACCGTATTCTTCTTCATGGAAAAATAAGACATCCCTGAAAATAAGACCTAGTGCATCTTTGGGAGCAAAAATTAATATAAGACACTGTCTTATTTTCGAGGAAACAGGGTATTATACAACTTCTTCCATAAATGGATTATATGTTTAGTCAACCTCGTGTCACACTTCAAGTAAATAGTTTAAAATATTACTGTGTATATATTTAAATTACATACATTTAATATTTTAAATCTAGTTTTATGGCACAAATCAGATTGGGAGAATACTGATTTGCTCTCCTGATTTATATTCTATATCTGGCTCTTCCAAAAATATACATGTACTTCTGTGGTGAGGATTAAGTAAGATACTGCAGCACTTAGAACAGTATCTAGCACATACTCAGTAAATGTTAGTGCTTGTTGATGTAGTTATTATTAGGAAAGTTATCTGAACTTTTCAGGCCTATATTTACTCATCTATAAAGAACGTTTAAGCCGAAATCGGTTTGGTTCAGTGGCAGAGCGTCGGTCTGCGGACTGAAGGGTCCTGGGTTCGATTCTGGTCAAGGGCATGTACGTTGGTTGCGGGCATATCCCCGGTGAGGGGTGTGCAGGAGGCGGCTGATCGATGTTTCTCTCTCATCGACATTTCTGGCTCTCGATCTCTCTCCCTTCCTCTCTATATAAAAATCAATAAAATATATTTTAAAAAAGATGACCTTTAAAAAAAAAAAAAGAATGTTTAAATGAAATAGTCTTTAAAATATTTAAGTGGTCAAAATATTTACTGAGAACCTGTGTATACCAGATACTGTGCTAGACACTGAGGGTCAAGTAAGACACAGAGTATTTTATATTATGGCAGTAGATCCAATTCTACATTTGTAAAATACTGTATAAAAATATAAGTAAAATATTATATATTTTACATCAGCATGCTAAAATGAAATATTAGATACTGATGAATGTTGAATTAGATTCTAATCTGTTGAGCGTTTTCTTGGTTAATTAGCAGTAATGGAAACTGGATGAATGTTGAATTAGATTCTAATCTGTTGAGCGTTTTCTTGGTTAATTAGCAGTAATGGAAATTAATTAGCAGTAATGAGGGTAGCATCTTGAAATAAACTGGGTTTAACTCAAACTGCTGATATCCATAGCTTCAATTTTTCAATGCATGAGTCAATTATATGGTTTCAATGTTATTCTAGGCATAAAAATGACTGATTTCTGAATTCAGCAAAAAATACTTGTCCTTGGAGAAGTATTAAATATCATTATAATTTTTTTATACACAGCTAAGGATAGAAGCTTTGGAAGAGAAAGATAATATTAAGTCTTTTTAAATTCTTTCATTTTTTTCATCCTCAGAAAAGTCTTAAAGTAGGGACAAAGGGCAAAAGGATAAAGAACTCCTATAATTTTCCTTAAATCTTTCAGTCAAAAAAAATTTTGTTTCTAGTTGGAAAAAGATAGCAAACTCTTGCAGATAGTTCAAGCTAAATGATTATTTATATTATAATTAATTATTTAAATGATTTATTTCACAGAACATATATTTCGGAGTCAGATAGAATTAGGTTTGAACCTCAGATTTCCCATTTATGATCTGGCTGACCTTGGGTCATTTGCTTAGATTCTAGGCCTTGGTGCCGTTATCTGTAAAAAGAGACTAATAACACTTAGACAGTAGGAGTTAACATATATATAGGATGGGCAAAGTAGGTTTACAGTTGTTCCTATAGAAAATAACATAATAAATATAAGAAATTTTCACATAAAACTGTGGACCTACTTTTGCCCCATCCTGTAAAGAGTCTAATCTCACTGCTGCATCCAAAAATATCTGTTGCGCTTCAACTATGAGGTTTTCTATTCAGATTTCATTTAACATTTGAACTCAGAAGTTCTGCCCAATTCAAATTTAAATAGTTACAAGTGGAAAACACGTACCTGGACCTAGAATAAAACCTAATGCTTGAAATGCACTTGTATTTGCCATGGCACTTGTTCTTTCGTGAAGGCAAGTAGCACCGGCAATGTATGCTCTGATGACTGCCACATTCCCTAAGAAAAGACAAAGTTAAAGAAAACATCCTTCAGTTTATAAAATTTCAACTTAAGTTGGCATTATGCAGAGGAAATATTAATCCATAGTATAGTCACTGCTTCCTCTTTATTATCTACGAAGCGTGTTTATTGAGGAAATGCATCAATTAATAGAAAATATTACTTTTAGTAAAATGAAAACACAGTTAAATATTTGAATTAATAAAAATGGTTTGGCTCAGTAGGTAGAGCATTCATCTGCAGACTGAAGTGTCATAGGTTTGATTCTGGTCAAGGGCACATGCCCGGGTTGTGGGCTTGATCTCCAGTAGGGGGCGTGCAGGAGACAGGCGGTCAATGATTCTCTCTCATCACTGATGTTTCTATCTCTCCCTCTCCCTTCCTCTCTGAAATCAATAAAAACATATATTTTAAAAACTGGCATTATAGGAATGACGAACTATTTTTTCATCATTAAGTACTGAGAAAGCACTGAGTACCAGTAAATGGCATATTACTCATTGCTATAACTATTTTTTTTTTCATTGCTATAACTATTTTTAAAAGCAAAATGTCACAAACTGCATGCTTAGACTGGTAATAAAAGAAACAGAAAAAAATCCACTAACAATTCAAAAATTTATTGAGCAATTACTGTGTACAAGAGACTTTGCTAGGGACCAGGCCACAAAATATTTTTTTTTAGTCAAATTGTCTCTAATTACAAAAAAAGTTTACTGCCTGGTTGGTGATATAAAATAAAAACAGCCCAAAACAGTATATAAGAAAGGAGCAGGGCCCTAGCTGGTTTGGCTCACTGATAGAGCATCAGCCTGTGGATTGAAGGGTCCTAGGTTTGATTCCAGACAAGGGGACATGCCTGGATTACAGGCTCTATCCCCAAAAGAGGGCATGCAGGAGACAGTAGATCAATGATTCTCTCTCATAATTGAATTTCTATCTCTCACTCCCTTCCTGAAATCAATAAAGTATATTTAAAAAAGAAAGGGACAGGGTAGCCTAAGAAAATTCCTGGAAAATAAAACTTGAATTAAATCTTGAAGGATGAAGAATGATGGGAACAGAAGAAATAAGTAATGGGAACATCATGAGCAGGAGCTAAACAATAGAAAGATATCTGTTTGCAATCACATATCTATATGTTGAACATTGGATATGAGATTAAGTGAGACAGGGCCTTAAGTTTGTGAATCTGACACAACAGAACATCCACTTATATACATGTATATTACCTGCTCCAAATCCCACCAATCCACGAGCCACCAACATGTAGTATTTATTGTGAGAAGCTGGGACGTGCACATACGCATAGAGGCAGTTGGCTGCCACCGAAATGAAGAGGGAGATAATGAGAGGTTCCTTTCTTGGTCTATGATTAGACCACCAACCAAATATAGGTGAAGCTACCATTTGGCCAATACTAAATGAAGCAATAACCCAGCCCAAAAACCTTGTATCAGCAGTGTGGTCAATCTGCAGGAAAAAAAGTACAATGCTTTAAAAATTACCATCCAAAGAAAGTTAAATTTAAAACATAAATACATTTTTATGACATGAAATATATTTTTAAATATATTTTTATTAATTTATTTCAGAGAGGAAAAGAGAGGGAGAGATAGAAACATCAATGATGAGAGAAAATCAGTGATTGGCTGTCTCCTGCATGCTCCCTACTGGGAATTGAGCCCACAACCTGAACATGTACCCTTGACCAGAATTGAACCCGGCCTTTCAGTCCACAGGCCAATGCTCTATCCACTGAGCCAAACCAGTTAGGGCTAATATTTATTATTTTAAAAAATAAAAACAGCCGGGACCGGTTTGGCTCAATGGATAGAGGGTTGGCTTGGGGACTGAAGGGCCCCGGGTTCAATTCCGGTCAAGGGCATGTACCTTGGTTGTGGGCATATCCCCAGTAGGGGGTATGCAAGAGGCAGTTGATCGATGACTCTCATTGATGTTTCGAGCTCTCTATCTCTCTCCCTTCCACTCTGTACAAAAATCAATAAAATATATTAAAAAAATAGAAATAAAAATAAAAACAATTCTAACTAATAAAAGTTTTGTAATACCATTATTTATAGTAAGTGATTCAGATTTCTGACATTACAATGAAATGTACTGAATTCACTATACATAAGGAAAAATGCTTGAGAAGATTCATATTTTGGAATGATTATGAAGAGTTCGTTCAGCCTGGCCGGCGTAGCTCAGTGGTAGATCATGGACCTATGAACCAGGAAGTCATAGTTTGATTCCCAGTCAGCACACATGCCCGGAGTTGCAGGCTCAATCCCCAGTAGGGGATGTGCAGGAGGCAGCCAATCAATGATTCTCTCTCATCACTGATGTTTCTATTTATCTCTCCCTCTTCCTTTTTCTCTGAAATCAATTTTAAAAATATTGAGCCCTGGCTGTTTTGGCTCAATGGATAGAGCATCAGCCTGGGGACCAAAGGGTTCCAGGTTCGATTCTGGTCAAGGGCATGTACCTTAGTTGCGGGCCATCCCTAGTTGGGGGTGTGCAGGAGGCAGCTAGTCGATGTTTCTAGCTCTGTATTCCTCTCCCTTCATCTCTGTAAAAAAAAAATCAATAAAATATATATATTTAAAAAATCTTGTTAAGCCCAGCTGATGTTACTCAATAGCTGAGCATAGAATTATGAACCAGGAGGATCAATTCCAGGTCAGGACTCATGTCCTGGATTTAGGCTTAGTCCCCACGAGAGCAACGTGCAGGAGGCAGCTGATTAATTTTTCTTTCTAATCATTGATGTTTCTATTATATCTTTCCCTTCCTCTCTCTGAAATCAATAAAAACTTACCTTAAAAAGTATTTTTTAAAATATAATCACATTAACAATAAAATAATAATAACATGACATTCTTTAATTCTTAGGAAGTAAAAATAATTATTTAAACTTATATTATTCTATAAACGAAACAGCCATTAGCACTGTAAATCTCTTTTCCAAAGGGGCACAATAGTCACATGCTTATGAGATAATAAAAACACAAAAGCTGAAAGATAATTTTCATTAAACCTATTACTAATTCTTCCTTTGAACAAAAACAATTCAAGAGGGTTTATATATCATGATGAATGTTCAGGGGAGAACCAAATGATTAAAATTCACAAAATGGAATACTTTCAGAAAATAGAAATTTTCAGCTTACAAAAATATATGTTAGGCTATATAATAATTTGAAAAAAATAACCATTAAATTTTAGGAAATAAGTTTTAATGTATAGGTTAAGTGGTAGAACAACAGAAAAACCATGGTCTTTTCTAAAGTTATTTTTAAATAGCTTAAAGTGAAAATACTGAGGTACATTTTGAGGGGAATTAGAAATAACAGTAACTGAGTATAATGATTCATATATTTTAAAGGTCTAGCCTTTAAAATATTTTTCAGTTCACTAGACAGGTAAGTTTTTTTCAATTACAGTTTACATTCAATATTATTTTGTATTGGTTTCAGGTGTTCAGAACAGCAGTTAGATAATCATATACTTTGCAAAGTGATCCCCCCAATATTTCAAGTACCCACCTGGCACCATGCATAATTATTACAATACTAGAGGCTCAGTGCATGAAATTTCTGCACTCAGGGGGGTCCCTCAGCCTGGCCTGCACCCTCTTGCAATCCAGGAGCCCTCAGGAGATGTCTAGCTGACAGCCATCAGGTGGATATTCTTAGTGCTGCCTTGGAGGTAGGAGAGGGTCTGCGTTGAACTGCTCCCTGGTGGTCAGTGAATGTCATAGCGATCAGTCATTCCGCCATTCTGTTGACTTGCACATTAGGCTTTTATTATAATATGTAGAACTAGTGCACAAAAATGTGTGTACTGGGAGAGTAGGAGGGGCAAGGTCCCTCCCTCAGCCTGGCCTGTGCCCTCTCACAGTCTGGGAGCCCTCAGAGGATGTCCTACAGACGGCTTAGGCCTGCTTCCTGCGATTTAAGCTGCAGTCTGGCCTCCCACTGCAGGAGGCAACCAGCTGATCAGAGAGGTGCTGTTCCCATCATCTTGTCACTGCTGTGGCTGCATTGCAACTACAGCAGCTTTGTCTGGATGTCCGGAAGGACGCTCAACTGTCTGTTCTAATTAGCCTATATGCTTTCATTATTACAGATTATTGAGTATATTCCCTATACCATACTGTACATCCCCATGATTGTTTTTGGAACTACCTCTCTGTATTTCTTAATCCCTTCACCTTTTGTACCCAGTCCCCCAAATCTCTGTCCCTCTAGCAACCACAAAAATCTCTTATTTTAGGCACCATGGTTTTTATTTTCTATCTGTATTACCTTTAGTTCCTTTTCCTCTCTCTCTTAAAATATAAAATAACTTCATGTCATATAAATTTTAAAACTAATTTTCCATACAACAATGAAAACTCCATTTTAATATTAAATGTGTAGTGATTTAAAAGCAAAAGATAAAAATGTTTTCTCAGAATATCAATGGCTCATAAGCAAATATCTATTTCATGGACAGAAGTGAGCTGACTCTTTAGGATGGCTCTAACAATATTAACAATATTTGCTGGTGACTACTGGAAATTTTTATTTTAATTGCATACTATTCTTTACATTGACTGGAATATGCTAGAATTATAATAGGAAAGTAACAACAGAAGGTGTTACTTCAGTAATTGAACTATTACCTGTGTTCATGTGCGTTTTCTCTCTTACAATAACAGAATCTCATTTTTGGTCACCTCTGATGATCTCCATTATATTGTTTTCAGGATAAAACCCAACTTGCAAGCTGGCCACTGTCTGCCTGTCTAACTTCTCTCTGCACAATTCTAACTTCTAGCCAAGTAGAACTGTTTGAAGTTTCCAAAATGAGCCAACTTTTTCTGCCTCTAGGCACATGTTCCTCTACTGCCCTTTCCACCAGCAATATTTTCCCAACATCCTACTTCCTGGCCTCCACCTTGCCTTCAGGAGACCAACTTCCTCAGGACTTTAAAACTTGTCTTCTAGGATCTCTACTTTGGATTAACAACATCCCCCTACCACCCATGTCTATCTATCTGTGTCTGTGTGCATGTATGTCCAAAAGTCACTTCTTTCTCCCACACCTACACACATTTACTTTTAGACCTTTACCTACTTATTTTGTATTGTTATTATTTGTAAACATGTTCAGTTTGGCATACTTCATTGAAAATTGGACCTATATCTCCTCTTAAAAACAAAAACAAAAAATAAACTTTCGGCCCTAGCCAGTTTGGTTCAGTAGATAAAGCACTGGCCTGCGGACTGCAGGGTCCCAGGTCCGATTCTGGTCAAGGGCACATGCCCAGGCTGTGGGCCTGATCCCCAGTAGAGGGCATGCAGGAGGCAGCTGATCAATGATCCTCTCATAATTGATATTTCTCTCTCTCTCTCTCTCCCTCTCCCTCTCCCTCTCCCTCTCCCTCTCCCTTCTCTGAAATCAATAAAAGTATTTTTTAATTAACTAAATTTATAAAATAAAGTTTCATAATACTATATTTCAAATCATTCTTCTCTAAACATGTTAATAAATTGACACTCAAACTTCTAGAAATCTTCATGTTTTGCTATGGGAGCTGAGATATGAATAGAGGTATTTCAAGCCTTAACTATCCTATCTAATAAATATGCTAATTGACCCTCATGCCATTGCAAAGATGGCGGCACCCACAGCCAATAAAGAGGGAATATGCTAATACACTGCCATGCCCTCAAAGATGGCAGCTCTCACAGTCACAAGATGGTGGTCCTCTTAGCCCCTCAGCTACCCAGGGCTGGACCAAGGTGCAGGCAAGCCTCAGATGGTGGCTTCCCAGCCACCCGGGGATGCCCAAAACTCAGGTAACCAGGTTCGGCTGGTTCAGCAGTGGCAACAGCAGAGGTGTGATGGAGACAATGCCTCCCACCCCGGAGGGCTCCGGGACTGTGATAGGGAACAGGCTGGGCTGAGGGACCCTCCTCCAGTGCATGAATTTTCATGCACCAGGCCACTAGTTTACTTATATATGAATAGAAACCCATTGCATAAAGAGATTCGTGCAATAGGCCCTCCTTCCCTTGGCTTCCAGCATCAGTTTTCCTATGGCACCCAGGACCAGGCCTTTGCTCCGGCTGGAGTCTGCTGTCTTCGTCTTTGCTGCAGACTCGAGTCTGCAGTCTTTGTCTTTGCTGCACTGCAGTGCCAGTCCTGTAGATCCCTTCGCCCCTTGCCCTCCCTCTCATAACAGGTGTCCTGCCCCGCCCGGCCACTCCACACCTGGAGCAGCTGGGTGGCAGCCATCTTTGTCCTAATTTGCATATTCCTTCCTGATTGGCTGGTGGGCACTGTGGAGTGATGGTCAGTTTGCATGTTTCTCTTTTATTAGTGTAGCTTGCTTATTTATCCAATTAATAGTACTGTGATTAAGAGTCAGATTTTGGTTTCAGATAGGGTTGGCTCTGCCATTTTCTAGCTATGTGACCTGGGGGAAGCTATCTAACTTTTCTGAGTCTACATTTCTTCATCTGTCAAACAGGCGTGATAATATCCACGTTACAAAGTTGTTATGAAGATCAAAAGATGATGTAGGTGAAATATTTAATACTGTCAAGGTGCATATGAACTCTTAATATGATGAAATAACTTGAGAAATTTAAGTTTTCTGGTGAAAATATTATATTCGTACTGCTAAAGAACCAATTATAAGTTCATGAAATCAATACATTTACCTTTGAAGAGCTTTCAAATATCTGGAGGAAGGTGTGAAAATTCAACATATTGGGCTGAGTAGACCTAATTATTGCAAATACCTTCTCTTGAGAATTTTGAGGTTAATTAGACTAAATACAGGGACCTTACAAATCAACAGTTGTGATGCATGGATATCTAGCAAAGATACTGCTGCAGTATTATTAAATTCTGTTTCAATTCCAATAATTCTGCCAGTGGGAAAAGAATTTTTACTGTCATGGATATAATTTTTAAAAATTTTTTATTTATTGACTTGAGAGAGAGAGAGACATCCTTTTGTTGTTCCACTTATGTATGCACTCATTGGTTAATTCTTGTACGTGTCCTGACTGAGCATCGAATCCCCAACCTTGGTGTATTGGGATTATGCTCTAACCAACTGAGCCACCCTACCAGTGCTCATATGTAATAATTTCATGTAATATAATTTAAAAATTAATTTTCAAAATAGCAATGCAAATGTGGCACTAAATCTAGTTTACTTTTGTTTTTATTAGGGAGGTGGTTTTGATAAAGGTAAAAGTGGCTAAAAAGTAGGTGACCATACCTGTACATTTGCCTGGGACTGATCAGGTATAATCCTATTTTCCTGGCATAACACTCCTTTCACTTCAAGTGTTCTGGTTTGCACAATAAAGCATATGATCACATAACTTATAATCTTCTATTGAATTATTATCTTGAATTTTTCTAGTGAAGATTAAATCATAGCCCTAGCCAGTTTGATTCAGTGGGAAGAGTGTTAGTGTGTGGACTGAAGGGTACAAGGTTTGATTCTGGTCAAGGGCATATGTCCAGATTTTGGGCTCGGTCCCCAGTAGGGGGCCAGCCGATCAATGATTCTCTCTCATCATTGATGTTTCTCTCTCCCTCTCCCTTTCTGAAATCAATAATGATATAATAAAAATTAAAAATAGATTGCCCTAACTAGTTTGGCTTAATGGATAGAGCATCAGCCTGTGGACTCAAGGGTCCCAGTTCGATTCCAATCACGAGCATGTGCCTTGGTTGCGGGCACATTCCTAGTAGGGCGTGTGCAGGATGCAGCTGACTAACGGATGTTTCTCTCATCGATGTTTCTAACTTTCTATCCCTCTCCCTTCTGTAAAATCTCAGTAAAATATATTTTTTTAAAAGATTAAATCATAGAATACCAAAGAGACTCCAGAAAACACTTAACTACATAAAAGTTAATACTATTAAAGCTACTTAAGAGAAGAATAAAGTATACAAACCTTTTGGAGATAGGGCCATATTGACATTATCACAATAGAAAATCCTGTAAAGAGGTAAACTGTTATTTATATTTATAATAATTCCATCATTATAAATACCATTTTTTGAATTCTAGCATGGATTTTAAAATTCTGAATTTAAAATGTATGCACCCAAATGTCTACTTTATCAAACAATGTGGTTTTAGGCTTAAAAGAATATTTAAGTATAGTCCTTGACCATAATCCTATCTAATAAAAAGAGTAAATGCAAATTGACCATTACACCAAGAGACAAGATGGCTGCCCCCATGTGGACACAAAATGGCCACCACAAGATGGCCTGCAGGGGAGGCAGTTGTGGGAAGGGTGACTAAGCCAGCAGAGGGCAGTTGGGGGAGACAAGGCTAGCAAGGGAGGGCAGTTGGGAAAGGGACCAGGCCTGCAGGTGAGGGCAATTTGGGGGGCCAGGCTTGCAGGGGAGAGCAGTTAGGGGGGGAAGGGGGCGCGGGAGACAGGCCTGTAGGAGAGGGCAGCTGGGGGGGACCAGGTCAGCAGGGGAGGGCAGTTGGGGGCAACCAGGCCTGCAGGGGAGGGCAGTTGGGGGGAACCCAAGCCTGCAGGGGTGGGCAGTTGGTGGGGACCAGGCCAGCAGAGGAAGGCAATTGGGAGACAGCAGTCCTGGATTGTGAGAGGGATGTCCAATCACCAGTCAGACATCCCTCAAGGGGTCCCAGATTGGAATGGGTGCAGTCTGGGTTGAGGGGCACCCATGCCCCCTTGCACAAATTTCTTGTACCAGGCCTCTAGTTAATAAAAGTCAATTGCCCATTTTCCCTTCCAAGCCTTTACTATAAATGGTAATTACTAAAAGCTTTGTTAAAGTGTTTACAGCAGAAATTCATGGAGGAAAGGCCACTTGGTTATAGAGGAAGAGCTAGACTCCTAATCTGTGTTGTTTGGGAGAGATTAATTAACTACAGGGATGTTTAGGAATAAGTGAAAGAAGGCGGTAGTTATAAAAAACCAGGACACTGCCTTGGCTGGTGTGGTTCAGTTGGTTGGGCATTGTCCTCATACATCAAAAGGTGGCTGATTTGGATTCCAGGTCAGGGAGGTTTCAAGCTCAATCTCCTATAGGGGATATGCACAAGGCAGTCCATCAGTGTTTCTTTCCCTTTTTCCTCTCTCTCTCTCTCTCTCTCTTTCTCTCTCTCTCTCTCTCCTCTCTCCCTCCCTCCACCCCCTCTTCTTTCGTTAATCCTAACCCCAAAATATTTTCCCATTAATTTTTAGAAAAAGTGGAAGGGAAGGAGAGGAACAGAGAGAAACATCAATATGATATTGGTTGCCTCCCACATGAGCCCACCTCCAACAAGGTATGTGCCCTTGATGGGAATCAAACCTGGGACCCTTCACTCTTCAGGCTAACACTATGCACTGAGCCAAACTGGCTCCTCTCTCTCTAAAAATTAATTTAAAAATCTCAAAAAAAAAAAAAACCCCACAAAAAAAGGATACTTAAGAGAAAAGTCATTATTTCTGTCATTGACTGAGATGTAATGATAAACTCCAGTGCTAGTTGTCAATTTTAGATGGTAGGCACATGCAATCAAAATTCTATAAAGTTTTTAAAGAAGTTTTATTAAGATATAATTCACATATCATACAATTTACACATTTAAAAAATACAATTCAGTGGTTTTTAGTATTATATCAAATATTTGAAACTATCATCAAAGTCAATTTTAGAATATTTTAATAACCTAAAAAAAGAAACCCTGGGCCCTTTAGCCATATGTTGCCACAGTCTACAACAGTCACATTCATAGAAACTGGAAATAGAATGGTGGTCCTAGAGATTGGGAGGATGTGGAAATAAGTTGTTAACTGGGTAAAGAGTTTCAGTTTTGCAAAGTGAAAAACTATATAGCCATGTAGATATATTAACACCTCTGATCAAGATGGTAAAGTTGAAGTTTTGCAGTTTTACCTCAATAAAAATAATTTAAAAAAAATTAAATATTGCCGAGACCGGTTTGGCTCAATGGATAGAGCGTCGGCTTGGGGACTGAAAGGTCCCGGGTTCGATTCCGGTCAAGGGCATGAACCTTGGTTGCGGGCATATCCCCAGTAGCGGGTGTGCAAGAGGCAGCTGATCGATGACTCTCATCGATGTTTCTAACTCTCTATCTCTCTCCCTTCCTCTCTGTACAAAATCAATAAAATATATATTTTTTTAAAAATTAAATATTAAAATACTAGAGGCCAGGTGCATGAAATTCATGCATGGGTAGGGTCCATAGAACTGGACACCAATCAGGGCCAATCTGCAGGGCAACCCGAGTGTGTGTGTCCCGTCCCCCTCCCCGCCCCCGCTAGCACCCACCTTGGCTTGGGGGCAGCTCCTGCATTGAGAATTTGCCCCTATTGGTCAGTGCATGTTATAGCAACCAGTTGTTTGGTCAATTTGCACATTAGGCTTTTATTATATAGGGTACCTTATATAAATTTCTAAAATTATGTGATTTCTAGTACTTACCTACACTGCTGAGAAACATAGTAAGATACAGAATCCTAATAGATCTCCATCGGCTCTTATAATGCTCCTCAGTTTCTATAATTTCCCAATCTCTAGGTGTAAGGAAGAAAAACGTAGTACTAAGTTATCTCATTAAATGCAAATCTTTCTGTGCCAGACTTTTATTTGCCATAGTCTAAAATCATAGAAATTATATCAGAGGTATAATTTACTAATATTGATTTTTCTGTACTAATTCACCTATGAATAAGCATTATTCCTTTGGCTTTCCATGGGTTGTATTTATGCATTATTGTACAATTTTATTATTCCAGAGTGCTGAAACTTGTTCAACTGACAAAATGAATAGTTTATAAAAATAAATAAACTAGCTTCAACAATTAGGTCTCCCACTGGTGGGATATACAACTACTAAATATTTTAAGATAATTACTGTCATCATTATGACTTGCTCTACTTGATGACAGTAAATTAACTTTGCTGCAGGAAGCTATTCTGGCTGGGTCAAATTAATGTAGACATGACACCAAGAAGGTTTGATGCGACCTAACACATTCCTACCCTGAGACCTCCTGCAACACTTGCCTTTCCTCTAACACATGGACTAGAGAGACTGGTTGTTCGTTCATATAGGCTTGTGATCTGGACTAAAGGCCAAGTATATTAAAAAAGACAAGTATATTAATCAGGCATCCTACCTCTGTCAGGTGATATTCATGAGAGTATGTACCCATTACATTTTCACACATGCATAAAGAGTTAAATTTACTTTGAGAATTATGTTTTCAAATAGTTAAGATAAGCAAAACAGACAAAATAATTTCTGATGGCTGTTCTCTCCACTCGGTAACTGCTTGAGGTTTTTGAGCATCGCTTCCTGCTTGAACTCTGTGTTTGGATTCTAGGAGGAACTCCCGCCTGTGACTGGGCGAGCAATGGCTTCACCAGCAGAGCTTAAATGCCCCTCCACGAGGTCCTCTTCTCAGCCGTCCAATGAAGAAGGTTCCGGAAACCTTTCTCCCCAACAGGACACAGAAGAATATGTATGACGAGGAGTTATGGCCTGGTCTACAGGAGGAGACGTGGAGTGAGGACAATGGCAAGCCTTAAAAGAGACCTCAAAGACCTGTTTCCAACATGGCTGAGGAGAAGGAATGAGGCCATTCAAAACCGCAAGAAGAAAAAGAATGAGCAATAACTGATTGTGACTGTAGTGATTGCCAATCAGATCCAGGTCCTTCTGGTATTATTAAGGACTATGAAGCGGTTTTGGCTGGCTTGCCTCAGCGGCAAGAGTGTCACCCTGAGGACTGATGGGTCTGGGGTTCAATTCCAGTCAAGGGCACGTGCTCAAGTGGGGAGCATTTGGAAGCAGCTGATCAATGATTCTATCTCATTGTTGATGTGTTTATCTCTCTTCCACTCCCTGCCTCTGAAATCAATAATGTATTTATATAAAACAAAATTCACACCTTAAAAAAAAGAATTATGACATGGCATATACTGTATTCTTTTACTCACTTGAGTTGTAACACATTTTTTGAGACACTCTTTCAATTTTTAATGGCAAATGTGTGTATAGGGCATCATTAATAAACTTGAGGCATATCTGAGAATATTAAAAAAATAATAATAATAATTTCTGATGTTCCAAGACTATTTTCTAAAATAGATTTCAGACTCACATTAGTCTTAAAAAAAGAAACTTTATTTTCAACTGTGATGTGACTAGGAGTGGTAGAGAGGGAGGGAAGAGAGATATTAGCTCTACTGTGCCAGGTATATTAAATCAGCTCCCGATACAACATATGCATATGAAGTGCTTAACACCACACATGCCATTGCATAAATAGGAGAAATTGTTAGGCCTTACTCAAACTTCTATGTTCTAACTACACACAATTCTATTGACCTTATATATGGTTTATGAACCAGCACCAAAGTAGGAGTCCCAAAATAAAGTTGGGAGAAGTTGCTGACAGCAACAAAACCAGGTTTGCTAACAGGTAACAAACACATGATGAGGGATAGTCTGTGAAGAACAGAATAGACAAAACACTAAAAAAAGACATGAAACTTTTAAGTACAGCAGTGTATAATAAATCAGAACAGGCCGAAACCGGTTTGGCTCAGTGGTAGAGCGTCAGTCTGCGGACTGAAAGGTCCCAGGTTCGATTCCGGTCAAGGGCATGTACATTGGTTGCGGGCACATCCCCAGTAGGAGGCAGCTGGTTGATGTTTTTCTCTCATCGATGTTTCTAACTCTCTCTCTCCCTTTCTCTGTAAAAAATCAATAAAATATATTAAAATAAATAAATAAATAAATAAATAAATAAATAAATAAGTCAGAATAGGAGCAGTAGTCCAAAATGTCTCAATAGGCCAAGAACATCACTCCACGACAACATTTCAACACTGATATGAACTGTAATCTCAAGATAAAATTACATTACATGCATTGTTTAGTAAATCAGAGATCAGAGAAAGACATTTTCCAAAGAGTTTCAGACTGGTTAAAATAAGGTTTGGTGCTTTAAGAAGCACAAATGAGCAAAAATTAACGTAGACAGCTTTAATTGTGTATCAGTTTAAATGATTTTAACTATTATTTCAAATATAAAATACTTAACTCCGTTTTTCCTAAAGGCAAAAAACACATAATTGCACAGTGAGAGATAAACTAACAATTCCACAAAGTAGGAGCAAAATAACCTTAGAATTAAGGGTCAAAGTACACTTCATCTCCTAAATGCTAAAAAATAAAGTCTTTATATATTTGGCATAGGACAACGGTGAACCCATTTCAGACGGGTTCACTTGCTCACAAAGAATCCAGCAATTAGGTCCATGCTAAGAGCAGTGAGTGTTTAAGTGACAATGCAAACATCGGGATCCTTGTGGGAATGTGTGCAGGGCTGAGCTCTGTAAAAGGCCGAGAGCCGAAAGACGGACGGAGGCCGCACCCGCGGAGCGCCGTGCGAAGGCCCTGTGACTTTGACACCTTCACCGGGGCCCGCGGGCCCACGCCTCCCTCCGCGGCGGCGCGGGATCATCTTCCGGTCACGAGTCACCTGCCGCCATGGGCCCCACCCCCTCCCCACGCCTCCGCCCTCTTCTGCCCGGTACAGCCGACGCCGGTGAAAGGGGCCAGGCCCAACAGCGCAGGAAGGTGAGGGGTCCTTCCCCCACATCCGCTCACCTGCTTCCGGGTGTGCGGTCGCCAAGGAGCGGCTCCTGCTCAGCCTGGATGCCCGGGCCCTCCATAGCTACCGCGCTCGCTAGGAGGCGAGAGAGGCTAACTCTCGCGACACCTCCGGCGCCTTCCCCTCCTGCCCTGATGCCGGCAACCCAATCCAGCGAGTGCGCGTGCGCACCCGGAAGCCAACCGTTGGCGGAGCGCCCCGGGAGTTTAGGTCACGCGGGACTCGGGGCGGGGCGACGGGAGCAGCCAGGGGCGGGGCCTTGCGTCCCGGGCCGCCGCGGCGGGTCTGCGCCTCTCGGGTTCCGCCACCGCCACCGCGTGGGGAGGCCTGCCGAGGCGAGGGCTGGGCGTGTCCGAACGGCCACCCCGCCCCGCTCCTTGGGTTTCCCGGGGCTCTGGTCCATCGCCGGGCTCCCGAGTTCCTGGAAAGGCAGCTGGCGCCGCGGTCGGAGCTCGGACGCGAGGCGAGTCCCGGGAGACGGGCCGTGCGGTGTTGGGAGACTCGTCGACTGGACGGACGGCGCCCGCTGAACGGCCAGTAAGTCGCCGGTCCGAGCCGCGCTCCCGAGCCCCTCGACGCGCGGCCGGCGTACGTGCCGGGAGTCAGGGCCCGGCTGGAGGGTGACCCCGGAGGGCGAGGCCGGGGTCCGGGGCGCAGGGCCAGGGGAGGGGGGTTATGCAGAGATGGAGGCACATTAGTTCCTTACCCCCGTGGCAGCTGACAGTGACTTCGCGCCCTTTTTCTTGTTGGGCTAACTCCCTGCGTGGGGCGTAGATGGGGCGCGGGAGATGGGGGTCCAGCCCCAGCTGACCTGAGCCCCGGGTCCGCACCCCAGTCCGGGGTCTTCGGCAGAGCCTGCTGCTGCTGCTGCTGCTGCTGCTGCTGCTGTCGCTGTCGTCACCGGGGCTTAGAAAAAGCACAGCGGCAGCTAAGCAATGACCAGCTCTTAATCACCAGGGAAGTAGTACTGTTTTGTTAGTCCTAACACATTCTCATGCCCTGTGGCACACTTCTGTTTTACATAGAGCTAATTCCGGAGAAGTTAATAGCTTACCCAGTCATTCGGTGTGGTGGCGGCAGAGTTGGAGCGAATTCAGTTCTTTTCAACCAGTATTTTATGAACACTTATCCTAAGACCCTGTATTGCTATAGGTTGCGTGGTGTATGCCATCTGCTTCTGATCTTTGTCTTGTCTGTGACCTTTGGCGTATCCTGTCAGTCACATTCCGCTGGTGAACAGCGAAGTTTGAAATGTGTTTTCTATTCGTTCGGAATTATCTTCTTTGAATCCAGAACTGACATTTTGTAGTACTTGGATTCAGTCTTGCAAATTTGTTAACAGCCAACACAGAGACATATCAGGTTCCTATGATTGGCTCCAAGAAAGTACATATGTAAAATAATTAGTTTTTTTTTTCTTGTCCCCTCCCCCCTCGCTATAATATTACTTTACTGTATCATCAGCTTCTTGTTTAATCCCTGGAGTCTAGTACAGTGTATGGCCTTTGCGTGTGTGTGTGTGTGTGTGTGTGTGTGTGTGTGCTTTATAAAGGGATTTTTAACCAATATTAAACCAAGCAGAATGTTTGCTAGTTGAATGAATGCTTATAGAATTACCTCATTTCACCCCTACAGTCCTCCGAGGTGAGATTGTCTCAAGCATGCAAGGAACTGGGAAGCTTAATAAAGAGAGCTAGAATCTAAGAAACAGGACTCCTGATAAGCCTGTGCTTTTCACTGCCAGCCTTCCTGTGTGTGTGTGTGGGGGGGGGGGGGGGCGGGGGAAGAGATGTGAAGAAGAATCATTTCCAATATCTCTTAAAATATATCAGAACAAGTAATCAATTTTTATATATGAAATAATTTGCTATTTTGTATCAGGCCAGGTGTTGTTTATAGGCTAAGGTGACTTACTCAAGGTCACATGGCTAGTGGAAGAACTAGCTCTGATATTTTCCATTGCTGCCTCCAAGTGATGACTTGAGACCACAAAAGTACATGGAATGTACTGCATGTAAGCCTTGTGAAATCTAAATAAACTGTGTATTGTACCAATTTAAACAAAAAGGAAGAAAAAATTATTTCTTAGTAATACACACAGCACCCAAACAAAGTAAATATTTGTAAAAGCCTATGGAAAAGAGGAGCTAGGTTTAAAAAGCTATTAGATTATTTGCTGAATGTTTCACATAGGTTGAGACAATCCATCTGATTGCTTAAAATAGATACTCACCCCTCTAAACAAATGAACAGAGAAGTTTCCAATTTACCTGCTCTTGTATAAGAGTAAAAGAATTGAATTTGTGGAGGCTAGATTTTAATAGTGGATATCTGTGTTATCAAAACACATTTTTGGTTACTTGTATTGAAAATATGTGATTTAAAAGTAAAGTTACAAGATAAAAATTAGGCTTGCATTTTTGTGGAGTAAAGTTGTATATTGTGGGGTTTTTTGTATATTGTGGTATTTTTTTAAAATTCATTTATGCCTTTGAAATATGTATCAACTATATGAGGATAAAAGTCCAGAAATTTCATTGTTTAAATGCTTAAGTACCGAGTGATAGGAAATAAAAATACTAGACAGCAAAAGAGATGTTGAGTACCACTTTAGCAATAGTACTCATTTTTAGGAAAGACTTTTCATTCCTTGGCACTGTACAAGAATTTCTATTTTTGTTTCACTTTGTTTTCTCCTCCTTGGCTATTTAAAAGTATAGGAGTCAATTATGTCAGTTTGGCTTCAGCAGTGGGTCCTATTTTTGCAGAAGCTCGCCGGTGTCACATTAGTCTGCTGTGGCTTTAAGTATTTGGTATGGCTCCAGATGGTGCCTCCATTTGATAAATTGGAGTTATCTTTACCATGGGCTTGGATTATTATCTCTTCATGGTGGCACTGGATAGCACTAAGCCCTACCTAGAAAGGGTGTCCTAGAAAACCTGATTTTTTTTCATTGTTCTTGGGACTGAAGTGGGACTTAAAAAGATATGTGTAATCCCGAACTCCAGAACCAAACTATAGTAAGTTATGTGTGTTTGATTTATTTTCTGTTCCTTGTTAAGGCAGGTGTTTTCAGCAAGGGATATACTGGCTCTAGATTTGGAGTACTAACTTTTTTTTTTTTAATTTATCTTTATTGTTGAAAGTATTACAGATGTCCCCTTCCCTCCATTGACCTCCTCAACCCCACCCGCAGACCTTCACCACACTATGGTCTGTGTCCTTGGGTTATGCATATAGACATATTAGTTCTTTGCTTAATCTCCACCCTATCAATCCCCTGCCCCACCTCTGCCTTACCTCTGGAGTGCTTTCTTATGGTCTATATAACATGGGATTAAAGTGATCTGGAAGGCTGGCTTTTCTAATATAGGGTTGAAAATTAGAAATAACTAAATTTTATAGTACTTTACAAAATATTTGAAGAGTTCAGTGCACTCAGGTTCTTTCTCATTTCCTTTGCAACTTTCTGCTTTTAAAAATATATTTTTAGCTTTTCGGCCAGAACCTCCGTATTCCAGTAAATTGTGAAAATGACTAACACAAAAGGAAAGAGAAGTACCTGCCATATGTTCTCTAGGCCTTTTAGAAAATATGGAGTTGTTCTTTTGGCCACATAACATGCGAATCTACTAGGTGATACTGAGGACATCAAGGGAATGGGCAGTGTTCAAAAAGGAATGTCCTACAAATGCCACCCAGCATGCAGTGGGCATTCTTGTGAACAAAAAAGTTAAAGGCAACATCTTGCCAAAAGAATTTAGGTATATATTGAACATATTAAGCACTCTGAGAACCAAGATAACTTCCTGAAATGTGTGAAGGAAAGTGATCAGAAAAAGAAGGAAATCAAAGAGAAAGGTACCTGGGTTCAACTGAAACTCAGCCTGCTTCACCCAGAGAAGCACATTTTGTCAGAACCAAAGGAAAAGAGCCAGAGTTGCTAGAACCCATTCCCTATGAATTTATGGAATAAGTGGAGGGTGGGAAAAAAGATTTCTGTGCTAATAAAATATGTAATTAAAGAAAACTTGGTGTCCTAGAAAAGATAGATAGATAGATAGATAGATAGATAGATAGATAGATAGATAGATAGATAGATAGATAGACTGATATAGATTTCAGAGAGAAAGGGAGAGGGAGAGAGAGATGGAGACATCAATGATGAGAGAGGAATCAGCTGCCTTCTGCTATCCTACCACTGGGGATCGAGCTGGCAACCTGGGCATGTGCCCTGACTGGGAATCAACCATGATCATGACCTCCTGGTTTAAAGGTCGATGCACAACCACTGAGTTACACTGGCTAGGCACAACTTACTCCTTTTTAAAAAAAGCATTTGGGTGCTTTTTTTTTTTCCCCTCACCTGAGGACATTTTCCCATTATTTTTAGAGAGTGGAAGAGAAAGAAAGAGAAATATTGATGTGAGAAAAACATTGATTGGTTGCCTCCTGCATGCATCCCAACTAGGGCCCAGACCAGGGAGGAGCCTGCAATCAAGGTATATGCCCTTGACTGAAATCAAATCCGGGAACCATTGGTCCACAGCCGTGTGCTCTAACCATTGAGCCAAACCAGCTAGGGCAGACTTTCTTTTATATGTTTGTCTTGTTTTTATCTATTAACAACCTAGAAGAATAGTGCCAAGGAAAATGGGATGTCTCATAACCAGTTTAGCACTTCTTACTGTGAAATGTGAGTGCTGGAATTTGGGATTCTCTCTAACACTAACATGGGCTCTGCTTATAGCCATTGATGCCATAGATGTTGTGGAGGAAGACATTGACCCCCTCCTTTTCCTGCCACAGTAGAGAAAATAAGTGGCCTGTAATACTCCCAAACGACTATGAAGTCCTGTGTTATCATGACAGTCACTGTTCTACTGCAGTTTAATAAATGTACACAAAATGTACTAGTGCTATTTTTTTAAACACAGAATGACCCAAGGAATAAAATAATTAAAAGCATCAATCATCTCTTAGAATTGTCTTTCCTTATGCTCTAGAATCTCCCTGCATATAGTTACATATCTAAATACTAGAGGCCCATTGCACGATAT